CCGGCAACATTTGACTTTATTGGTTGATTGGGTCTTGTTCCTTTCATATTTTGGCCATGACGTCTTCATAACATTTGTACCTTATTGAGTTAAAATTCAAATGAAATTCGAATCGAGTGATTTTGAGTTCTCTATAATAAGTTATACTCAATTTATAGGCAGAACGTCATCCTTTTGGTCAAAAAGTCGTTCATCGCAATGATTATTGCTCTAGCTCATATTCTGAAGATATTTGCCCGCTTTCTCTCCTTTTCTTAAACAAATACTTATAAATACTTATGTTAAACACAAGTAAATATAACGGCTATCAACTGGTCTATTTCGTCACGGGAATGACGACAATATGTAAAAGAAAATAATAAACTAGAAGTGAAACAACTTTAAAGGTATCGTATTGCAGCTCTTAAGAACATGTCTACCATCGGACGACATGCCCCCCATCCGACGACTTTAATTATGTCGTCCAATCTATCTTGTCACATAAGTGACGACCTGTTCCTCAGGCCTCAAATAAGGCTTTCCATGCTTGTAGTCATGTCTCCTGGAAGATTCTGACTTCCCGTGCCCCCCGTCCTGCTCAATTTGTCCGCGACGGGATCGTAAGTCTTCTTCTAGATGGATGAAAGCCAATGCTTTTGCTTGGACATCTTCGAAGGACTGACTAGGGTATTTCGTCAACTCCTGATATAACTCTGAATCCTCTAGCAGTCCCCTTCTGAATGCTTCAATTGTTGTCGGTATGTGACACCTGGGGATTTACACCTTCTACTTGTTGAATCGGTGCAAGTAATCCCTTAAGGATTCATTGTGTTGCTGGACTACTCGGTGGAGGTCACTAGTCTGCTTCTCCAAGGCTCAGCTGCTTGCAAACTGTTGATTGAATAAGTTGACCAGCTCCGCAAACGAATTGGTGCCGTCGTTTGGCAGATTGACGAACCACGTCAACGGCGGTCCTGTCAACGTCGTCCCAAATGCCCTGCACATGCAAGCTTCTCGTTGATCTGGTCTGACCGAGACGACTAACATTTGCTGCTTGTACTGAGTGACATGTTCCTCCAGATCAGAAGTCCCGTCAAACAATCTCATTGAGGGGGCGGCAAACTTTCTCGGAATCTCGACATCAGTGATATGTCGTCCGAAAAGTGAATCTACGTAACAAGTTTGTGGCGCTATGTCAAGCGGGCGCGGGACTCCAGGTATGTTATTGACCTTCTCGCGCAATTCTCTCAACTCCTCCATGATGATGGCCAAGGGGTCTGTCGAATGTGTCTGCACTTGCGGGCTCGGTACTTCAGATGATGTCACTGCCTGAGTCTCCCTTTGCTCGTTTGGTGACTTTATGGTGATGACTTCAGGCTCTTGACGCCTTTGGCCATTGATGTCAACATGTTGGGGCATGTCGACATGACCTGGAACTTGTCGTCTCTGGTGCTCCATAAATAAGTTTCGGAATAGACTCCTTGTGGGATGTGGAAAGGGGGCGTAACGAGTTGATGGTCCCGCACCTCCGGACATACCGATTTCGGAATGAGGGATGAAATGTACTGTAGGTGTTGACATGGTGGTGAACACTGACATCTGTGGGTTGATAGTCTGCAGACCTGATGTCGTTGGTCTGGTCTGCAATGAATCCGGAAAGAAACGCATCAGGATGCTCGTGGCTGGGGTTGAAGTCGGAACTGAATCCATGTCCAACCTTGTTGCCACGGTCAATATATATTTTCCCCGTCGTGAACGAGAGGCTATGGATGCCGCTGATTGTACTTGAGATCGTAGAGCGTCGTTTTCTCGTTGGAGGAAGGCGATCTGCTTCCGCATTTCTGCCCTGACAGCTTCTAGTTGCGCTTGAACCTCCACTGCCGAATGATTAGAATTTCCGGCCATGCTTGATTCTTCTTTTGCAAGATTTTTCCACAGACGGCGCCAATTGTGTTAACTAGAAATTAACTAATCTACAATATTAATGACAAGGGAATCAAGCAAGAAGAATCAAAGGCTCAAAGCACGAGTGAAATAAATCGGAATTAATAATGAATAACCAATATTATAAATATTGTGAGCAAGAATGTTTTGATCGTGAGTGTATTCTGAGTGGAAAAGAAATGAGTTACAATGCCCACGATCTAAGCTATTTAATGGGAAATTGCTTTCCTCTTCCGCAAGACTAGGTACGTGTGCCATATTTTTAGCCTTCATCCAACCACCTTTGACTACACGTTAGTCTTCCTCTTCTTATCTTAACCTATCTTATAAAGGTCACTTCTATTATTAAATGCTTATCACTTCTTGATAGTTAAGCTTTATGTTGTTGTACCATATGCTATTAGAGTATTAGCCTTCCAATTTATGGCCTTCACCGTCAAGACGGTGTTATATTTGTTTACGCACCGTCAACTCAACAGGTATATCATTTATGTATTGCTTCGTATCTACTCCGTATTGTTTTGGCTCTTCATCTACTCTTGCTTTTAATTTTCTCATTTAACACTTTTAATTCAATTTTTATTTCAAAATCCGTTTCCCATGGCAGCTCACCGCATGAATCCTTCATCACCGTTCGTAGAGTCTCTTATCAGTTTAATTTTTACGTTTTTCTAGATATTAACCTTTCTTCCGGACAAATATATAATTTGATTTCAACTTACATTTCTCTCCTTCTCACGATAGCTGATCAGCCATCTATTAGGTATGTTATATTGTGCTTTCGTGTAATACTATTCCAACATTCTTCTTTCTGCCATGTTATTTGCTTGATTAGTTCAGGAATACACTTTTATATTCATCCTTAGATGTGATTCCCTAATTGTTATGAGAAGTGTTGCAATGTTTCTGCTCTACGTTGGTAAGATTGGAATTGTTCTTTGTGTGATTCTTAATTTATAGAATCAAAATAAGCTCCTATCTTTTGGATGTACTGCGGCCGCTTTTAGCTGCGTGTTTTATATTATTTGAGACTTTGATTCTGCTTAAATGGTCTCCTCAAATTTATGTGAAAAAAAGCTTATATGAAAGGAAACTAAAAGTACCATAATTGTTTGATAATATGTCTAGATTGATTCATTTCATTTGCCTCCAGTCCAGTTTTTGTTAGTCAACACATACAAGTTTTCAGTTCTCTTAAAGATTGATTTTCACTTCGGCTTAGAATGGTATGTGTTGTTTTCAATGATACTACATATATACTTCGTATCTTTTAAGCTTCTAGGTATATTCATACAACATACCTTTGCTTTTCTTTGTAAGTTCCAAGTGGTGGGGGATACGATAGGTAAAATGAATTAGAAGACTAATGACAAAATGTTATATTCAACAACTAGGAGCTACTGAACTTGAATCTGTCCATAGATCCAATCCTCTTTCTTTATGCGCAGATTTCTTCCATAGAAGAACAAGTGACTGCAAGCGGCAATCAGGGCAAATCCAAAGTTTTTTATAGCAATCGTTCAGCAGTGGCGGCTTTCTAGAGTGATGATATCGGCCAACAATACTATTACAACTTTTGTACTTTTCAGAGGTCCTCTAAGAAGGCCTAATACTTTCAACCTTTCATGAATCTATACTAACTTGCTGCAGGTGTAAAACCTATTTAAAAGCAGGAAGCTTGCTAATGTTCAAGCCACCATCTAGCCAGCCCTTGTTCAGAATTCTTGTCTACGATTCATTTATCACTCAATTTTCGTGATAAACTCCATGTTTGTCATAGATTTTCTTTTACCTGCAATAAAACCATTCCTTGATGCTAAAACATATCGTTCATGCTATAAAAATGTTATATTCAACAAAGTTCTTTTAGAGTAGGGTGCAATAGTTTGACAATCAAAAGCACAAAACACATAAAAAAATGCTTATGTGTATAAAAATGAGTTTTGGATTGCCACAATATATTTCAAATATACTGAGTCTCTAACTCCCTGTACGTTTCTTTATTTAAATGTATACTTTCATACTAATAATATTCCTGCCTCAAATACTTTATCATTGTTTTATTGTATTTTACCATAACATGATCACATTCATCTACATATCCTTATTTATGAAAATTAATATGTTGTATATATAATATAGCTCCTAAAATAAACATTTTATATATACTTATTTTGAGAACAATTACACAATTCATTAAAGTTATGAGTTGGGCATATTACACTCGCGCAACGCGCGAACAATTTACTAGTCCTCAATATCTGTAGGTTTCAAATTAACTCCAGCTAAACCTTGGCCCAACTTCCGGTCCTTGCTTATTAATTTACGGCCCATCAGCTATCAATATTCCTGGGCCCAACAATCCCTTTCCTGGTAGCTTTTTAGTTTTCATGCCTCACTCGTTACCTTGGCATGCTATTTTTGCAAGCTTTTACACCAAGGTTTACTTTGTTTAGGGTCACTAGAACTATTTTCAGGGCTACATATTAATTTCAAATGCTTTCTTTCGATTTTTTTCAAAATCATCAGGGTAATATTTCAGAATTTGCAAATTAGTGATCGTTAACCTATCTGTTGTATCATTAATCGCAATACAGCTTTGTATCATTAATCGATGTATCAGTGTTTCGTTTCCTTGATGTTGAATGAAAATGATATTTCTTCATGAGCAATCTGTATTAGAATATACGGAGTATCTAAGATTTTTTTTTTTTTGAGAAATATAAGAAGTTTTTTAGTACATAATTAAAAATATACTAGTATCCTTTTTAATATGCTTGAAAGACTTGAGGATTTGGTTCTTGATTGTGTAAGTGAACTCTTTTCCATACATCAATATACATGTATCTCAAAAGCATACGTGGATACACCAACATTTCATTCAAAATATTTATGTTTACTGGCAAAAAAGAACAAAAACTCATCTATCTATACATAAAAGCATTACATTTTTTTCCCGCCCATAGTCATACCCGTTTCCGCATCGTCCATTTCGTAGATTAGATCTGCACCGTTCTTTTACAATCCATTTTTCTACCCCAAATTTCCTCCGATCTTTTCCCATCCATTTTTCCTCCCCCAAATTTCCTCCTCATCCATTATACCCCAAAAAAAATCCTCCGATCTTTTCCCATCCATTTTCCCTGCCCCAAATTTCCTCCTCATCCATTACAGATTCCTTCATCGCCTCTGTAATCTCCGATCCCCATTCCATCTGCCCCAAATTTCCTCCTCATCCATTACAGATTCCTTCATCGCCTCTGTAATCTCCGATCCCCATTCCCTCTGCTCGCCTTCTCCTCTCGCCGGCAAGCAAGCAAGATGATGGACGCACACATCAAATCCAAAGAACGCTTCGTCTACTGTCTGCCATCTCGAATCAAAAGCCTGCCGCCCGCCCCCTCATTTTCTCATCTGCTAATTCGGGCAGCAATTCATCGGCATCAATTCCAAACAAAGCTTCGTCTGTCATCTGCCTATTTGATTCAGAACACAGCCCCTCAGGAGTATTCTTCCAGTTTAGAAACGCAATGGGTAATATGCAATTCTATTGAATTTAGCAGGAAGTGAGCCTATGAAGGGGCTCTGCGAATTTGTATATTTATCAAATATTTTCTCCTTTTTAACTCATTTGTTAAGATTTATATTTCATTATATTCTTTTAATATCATCTTCTTCATCGTTTGCTTCACATGTAGATTCAAATTGATGTTCTCCACATCGTTTCAGCCATCGGTGAATTAACGCAAAGGTCATCCTAGAAGGGCAGGTTTGTATATTTAAAAATTAAGCCTTTATGTTTATTTACATAATAATCGATAATAATCGATGATTTGGGGCAATCCCTAATTTAACGTGCATAAATAAGGAAACGTACAGCCTATATATCTATATCCATATAATAGATGATTTTCAGTAATCCCTAATTTAACGTGCATAAACAAGGAAACGTACATTCTCAGAATCCTAATTAACCTTAAATACATATATAATAAATCCTAATTTAACGTGCATAAACAAGGGAACATGGCATAAATCCTGCCATCCTGGAGTAAATAAAAAAATGATATCAGAAAGTACTTTCTCTACCAGTTCCATGAGGGACAAGTTTACTAATTCTAAGGTCTTTTAAATTAAACCTCAGGAAAAAAGGGCCATTTACTCATTAATACCACTGCATTAACAAAGCTCTCTTATTTTTGACTCACCTCTAGACCAAAGAGATATAGTTTGATTATTTGATTGATTTGTTAACGAAATCCATACTCTTCATCTTCTTCTTCTTCTTCTTCTCAGTCCTCTATAAAAATCATTTTAATAACTTGCTCTCCAAAATCTCAATTTAGAAAAAGGAAATCGGTTCATCATTTCATTTTCATAAACTAAAACTATAACTTTTTAAAAACTTGCATTTTTTAACACAATCTTTGTTTGGTGGCAGAATAATCGAGAATATGAATCTATATGGAAGTTGTCATTTTTAAAACTGAATAATGCGATATCTTTATTATTATAGCAGCTTGCAAAGAAAATGCAGGTGGTAAATGCAGCTTGCAAAGAAAATGCGATATCTTTATTATTATAGCAGTCCTTATAGATCTCACTCTGTATCTCAATGGTTGGAATTTTCTACACATAATTCAAGTTTTATCAATTATGTTAAAAGTACAGATTAAGAAAAAAAATACATCTTTATCACATAAGATATATTTTTTTCTGCTTTTCTTCACTACTTTCCTGATTTTTTTCTTTTCTGGGGTACATTTATTCACTACTTTCCTGTATATCTTATTATTGATGAAAGATAAGATCTCTTTTCATTATTTGTTGTATATAATAAGATGTAGGGATGGAAAATGTTTAGTTACTACCACTTCATTCCAGCAGAATCATCTGTGTAGCTTATTTGTGTTCTAATTTCAAAGTAGAAGCTACCAGGAGTACTTAACTGTCAATCTCTAATCTGTATTTATATTTGTTTAACTATTATGTTTGACATTGAAAGTGTGTTCTCAAAGATAATTTACATTTTCTGTCAGTGTAAGCTATTATATAATTTGTTTATAAAGCTGACACCTAATTCAAATGTAGGGTACATTTATCAAAGCCACAATTCCGCTCCAGTTAATTCCGCAGCTTGAAGATAAATTCGAAGAAGGAAAATTGTATGCAATAAAGAACTTTGAAGTAAAAGAAAATCAGGGCAATTGGAGGCCAACTCCCCATCCATATCGTTTGTTCTTCACAGATAATACAAAAATCGCTTACCAAGAAGATAAGAAGCATGACTACTTCAGGCAAAGCGTCTATAAAATCACAGAGTTTTCTGATATTATTAATGGCCCCGATGTAGTGGGTGCTAATTTGTTGGGTATGTATTAGTCACAACAATTGTATTAGCTAGATTTTCAACATCTTTATAATTTTCATATAATCTGCACTTATCAATTTGATCGTTTTTTTTGTAGATGTCATGGGTGCATACAATCCGGATGATGCTCCATTCAAACCAGATGACTTCAGTAAATCTTGGTGTAGATTTCAGATAACCAATCTACAGTTAATAGAATTTTAATTACTAAATATATAATTTAACAAGCATATTTTTATTGTTCTTTAATCATTAGTTTATAATTTACATCCAGGAACATTAAAATTTGGTGCACATTGTGGGGTGATTATTCTGCTCAATTTTTGAGATTCTTAGAAGTTCCCAGGCAAAATCCTGTTATTGTGCTCTTGCAATTGGGACGAATAAACAAGCGTTTTGGTACTTCTGATGAGTGGTTTTTCTATATTCAAATGTCTTAAATATATTCTACATTTTTTTAGCAAATGACAATCATGATTTAATGCAGCCGGTGATACAAAAGGTGTGTCTTCAGCATTACATTTCACAAAATTGTTGTTGGATGATCACATTCCTGATATCGATGATTTTCGAGAGCGGTATATATTATTTTTAATAGAATTTGCAATACATATTGACAATTGCATTCAAATTATACTTTGAATTATTTCGATAACGATAATTTTGAAATGATTTCTTTCTTGAAGCTATATGATCATGATGCAACAACAATCGCCATCCATTAGCGCAGTTTCAGGCGCATCTAATGCATCCGCCTCCACTTCTATATTATCTTATTCTTCCAATTCTTGATATTAGTTATCTAACATTAAATTTTCATTCATAAATTTTTTAAAAAAATTGCACCAAAAACGTCATAAATTATAACATATTTTTTATTTAGTCATGTTAACTTATATTCAATGTTTAGACTTTAGTTACCACAAATCCACGACACTATATTGTTGCAATTTTTTTAAATCAATTTTTAAAAAAGAAATATTTTTTAAATAACTAAATCTAATGTATTATCGTTATATTTTTTATATAAATATCAATAGGCATTGCTTTGAAGCTCTAGATAGAAGTATGAGAGATATACTTTCTTGCTGTCATGATGGAAATCCAAAATTACCATTTGGTGGAAAAACAATTGTTTTTGGTGGAGACTTTAGACAAGTGTTGCCTGTCATTCCTAAGGGCACAAGGCAGGATATTGTTCAAGCATCTTTGAATGCATCACATTTGTGGCAGTATTGTACGGTGTTGAAGTTAACAAAAAACATGAGACTCAAGAACTTCACAAATGAATTGGCCAATCCGAGTATTTTGAAGCTTTTTGCCGATTGGATACTGCAAATCGGTGATGGTGTTCTGGGAGAGGGCGATGATGGCGAAGCAGAAATTGATATACCAGAAAATTTTCATGTTCCAGTAATGTCTGATCCCATTGAATCTATTGTCAACACTACTTATCCAGACTTTTTGAAGAACATGAACAACATCTCATATCTTGAAGGGAGAGCGATTCTTGCACCGACAATTGATGAGGTAGACAGGATCAATGATTTCATGTTGCTGCAGAACAACTCAGAGGAAAAGACCTATTTCAGTTCTGATTCAGCGTGTTCCTCTACCTCAGACAGTGAGCTCCTTCAAGAAATCCATTCTCCCGAGTTCCTTAACGGAATAAAATGTTCTGGTGTTCCAAGTCACGAGTTGAAGCTAAAAGTTGGTGTACCGGTGATGCTCATGAGGAATATAGATCACTCGGCCGGCTTGTGTAATGGTACTCGACTTTTAGTGACAAAACTTGGTGAACATATTATTGAGGCACAGATGATGTCTGGAACTAATGCAGGTGAGAAGTTTCTTATTCCCAGGATTAGTTTAACCCCATCGGATGTGAGGCTCCCTTTCACATTTATGCGTAGGCAATTCCCCTTGATGGTTAGCTATGCGATGACGATGAACAAGAGTCAAGGACAATCTTTAGAAAATGTGGGTGTTTTTCTACGACGTCCTGTTTTTACACATGGACAGTTATATGTTGCAGTTTCGAGGGTGACAAGTCCGTCTGGCTTGAAGTTCGTGATATGTGATGACGAGGGAAATCAGAAAAAAACGGCAAAAAATGTTGTCTACAAAGAAGTTTTCAATAATTTGTAGCTTGTGTGCTTATTAAACTCAGCATATTTTTTATTACATATTTACTGATGCTTACTCATTCTCTTGATAAATTATAATATATTCTTTAATTATATTTAAAATCGGAGTTTATAATATAAGTATTTTACACCCCGTGCAACGCACGGGTGGAATACTAGTTTAAAACTTAATAGAGATGGTGTGGAGTGATATTTTCGTGTTAGTTTTCCTTTTATATGGATATTATTGCTGTACAGCACTCCACTGAAATAACACGGAGTACTCCGTAATAAATGGATACCGTAGTGTGTTTGTGTATTTATAATTAGGTGAGAACTATGCTACCCATTTAAAAAATGAGATATCGTACATACTATTCACTTGATTGGTCCACATAGGTATATCAATTTTAATTTAGAATTAAATAATTCAACTGCAACATTCTGATTGGTCCATGTAGACAAAGGTACGGTACCTTTTGGGTACCATAGAATCTACCTTATAATTATATACTCCCTATATACTCTCTCCGTCCCGCTATTAACTTCCTACTTTCCTTTTTGGGTCGTCCCAAAATCATCTTCTCATTTTCCTAAATGGAAAGTTATCCTACATCAAAATAGTGTCAAACAGTGTAAAACAGTGTCAAACAGTGTCTAAACAGTAAAGTCAAATTTATTTCCTAAATATATGTGTAGGTGAAAGTAGGAAGTTAATAGCGGGACGGAGGGAGTATGTCTTTGTGTATGTATATATAAACTATGTGTTGCACGGATATGGATACGCCGATACGCGGATACGCGAATACGGGTACGGCGATACGGCAATTTCAAAAATTATAGGATACAGGTATGGGGATATATTTATAAATAATAGAAATACAGGGTTTAATTTGCAAATATATAATTCGGGGATTCATAAATAAAATAAGTATAGTGCAAAAAATTAACTATTATAATAAAATTTCAAAGATTAGGCTAAAGCATCTAAAGTACTGATATTTCGATTTAAATTCAAATGATATTTTTTGTTCTCTATTTGCATTTACATCTATGTTTTGTTTCAATTAAAGTTTATCAAGCGATAAAATGATAAATTATAGTATTCCATTATTTTTCATACTCCCGAAATCATCTTTGTCGATGTTCCACATCTTGTGGTCGCTTGGGCGGCTACTAAACTTTCGTCATGTCGTTTATGAAATGAGGGTTATAGGGGCGGATACGCGTATTGGTTCACGGATACGGGTATCGGAAGTATCGGTATTTTTAAAAATAAGCCCGATACTTTTATTAAATTATGGATACGGACCCAATACGTACAGGACGCGTATTGGTATCGCCGTATCGGATACGTATCAGATGCGCGGATACGGCATATCGGTGCACCGTAGTATATAAATGCACCGTCCATATATATCTCTATTTTTCTTAGTCAAACTTTGTGTGTATTCATATGTCTATTATGATGAATTCTCGTTTACACGTATTTGTTAGAAGCTTGAATTGAATAATGCAACAAAGATAAAAGCGAGTGCTTCATTTGGTGTTCATCCGCCAAGAAATTCCTAGTATTTATAGGGTAATGGTATATACGTAGTACTGTATAGCATGCGTATTTTATTTTGTAACTTCTTCAACATACTTCTCTCAATAAGACTTCAATACATTTTTGTGTGCTTTAATACAGGAATAAGATTGCATACAACCAACCCCTTACCCCCTTACCGTAGGTGGGAGCTTTTGCGGCACTGAAGTAAATGATGATTGATAATTGATACTCTATATATAATTTATTCCGATGTACCCCGTACTATATAATTTCCGATGATCGCAAATTTTTTGGATAGATAAGTAGCTGCGTTGGATTGTTTTATATTCCTCCATATGTTTTACCCAGGGATGATTTGCTGCTCTGTATAGAATATGTTTACGTATGAGTGTTGTGTTCTTTTGCAAACCAGCACCCAGCCTTATATAGGGGAGGATATTAGGTGTGTTTATGGCTGGTTTAAGGCATATGGACGATGGACGTTGGGACATCAATGCAGTCCAAAAAAACCGTCCATATGAACGTTAACCATGCATTAGTGGCATCTGAACGTTGGCAGTTAATGGAGCAAAAAAAAAACGTTACCGAAGAACAAAAATTAACACTATCTATAGAAGATAGATTTTCGGACGGCATTCGTGTGTGCAGGTTGCCCGCACACGCAGGTCACGTTTTTTGTTCTTCGGTTTCGGAATTTGATTCGCACCCCCTGCGCGCGTGAGAGAGTCTTTCCCTTTAGGAATCTTAACTCCTTAGGGGGGGTTTCCCTTATAAAGGGTTGCAAATCCCTTGTGATTTTCGGTGTGGGAAAAACCATATCAAAAACTCACATTTTCCTAGTTTTCTCCATTCCAACGGGTAAACTTCGAAAAGCGATTTCTCATTCACCCGTTATCCGTTTTGAGCGTACCATATATCGAATTGTAGCCCTAAGCAAGTACTATCCGAAACCACTTTGACCCGACCCAAATCGGAAGTGGATCCCGCTCAAACAATTGCCCCAAAATGACCATTTAATGCAATTTAACACACTTTTTTCCAACAACATTTTCAAAATGACTTTTAAGTGCAAGGTGTAAGATGATATAAATAGATATCTCCTTAAGCGAATCTTTGTATTTTCACCTTCTTCCTTTTTATGCAGACGTTAATATTGAATCTCAACCTTCTATGCATCCTTGCAAAAAGATATGTGATATAACAGGGTTTGAGGTATCTGTTTAATTTCACTATTATACTGATATTTGATAGAATGATCGATAGTTATAGAAATTCCCACCCAGATTGCATCATTCCTTGCCTAGACACAAAGCTCTCATTTGCTCATGTTTCATGATGCACATGTTGATTTTACAAAAATAATTTAACTATCGGACATGACTAAAACAACTATCTGAACTCATTGTTGTTTCTTTATGTTCTTGACTAAAAAAATCTACAATGATGATGGATTTAAAATTTCATCTCATTAGTCCTTTGGAAGGTTGCACATGAAAGGCATCAGGCATAAAAGCTTGACACTGTTTTTGCATTAATTTATAGTGCTAGAAATTTGAAAGTTAGAGAGCGTTATATAATTAATTGATACTCCAAAGTTCATTCTACTGACCCAAATATTGTTGGGATTATGGCACTGATCACTGATGATGATGAGCCCCCAACTAATTTCACGTAATTCACTTCTAAGTCTGATTCATTTCGTACTAGACCCTTAGCCACCCTAGTGCTTTTCACAACATTGCTTATTAGTTGAAGGGTGTGTTGCAGATTTGGTTATTTTGTATTGCTATAGGATAACTGATGGTGTCTTATTTAACAGGCTCCTTATTTTGATCCCAGAACCAACCTCCGTTACGCGAATACAAAGGTCTTTAAGATGATAAGATCACTTCCTAATGATTATGTTCAGGGATACCTTTGTCTTAGAAATGCTGCAGTACTCTTGAAATAGTTTTTTTGTCAAACTTATCCATAACTTGTCTTAGTTATATGTTTGACTTTTTGACTTTTTGCCACTTATAGTCCTCCCACTAATACTCATGGTAATTGTCTTTTGAGTTTTACCACTTCTAGTCCTTCAAATTTGACAATCTGCTCCTATCAAGTTACGAGTTACCTATAAGATGAAACTCCAAATTCTAATATGGTATCATAGTTAGTCCAATTGTGATTTGATTGTTAAATGTAACTTGTTAAGACTTAAGAGTTTGTTTTGACCCGATCTTTAAATGTGAAACTCAGAGTCTAGTACTCTTGTTCACAATTTGTAATCTATTTCACTATTTGTACAATGCTCTTTGGTTGTAAATCGATCAATTTTGCACAAGGATTTTTGTCAAACCTTACATAATGATGACGTATCAAATGATTTTGCCAATGTAATTAGTGATGGCAACGGGGCGGATCAGGGACGAGTATACATAAAACCGAAACCGCCCCGTAGGATAAATGTTTGCCCCAAAACCGCTTCATTACCCGTTCGGGTAATTTTTATTTGAACCGTACCCGCCGTCCCGCCCCAACGGGGAATCGGTTTATCCACGGGTAACCGTTTTCCCAAATGATACCAAATAATCATTTTTTAAAAACAAATAACCAATTTCTAATCCTACTTGTTATTTATATATTCAAAGCACCCTAAAACATACAAAAGTAAATATTTAAGCAATCAAGCAGACTGGCCTAAATTCATTAGTATGACATGCACCTAATATCTCTTGTAACATAATAAAAAGTAGTAATCATCCTAGAATCCAAATTCCAAAAACAGGTTTAGGCATATATTTAGTTTTAGGCCTAAAAAAGTAGTATACTTTTTAGCATTATTTATATGATATATATCGTACTATTTAGTATACACAATTTGGCATATATACTTATTATTCTTATATATACAAAGTAATAATTCATTAATAATGTTATTGATCGGATAACGGTGCGGGTACCCGCACCATTAGTGTACAGGACGGTTTCAGGGCGGATTAGTATGAAACCATAACCGCACCATTAACCATTTAAAAAATTCAGGTATCCCCCGTACCCATTCCCCAGTCAAACCGGTTTTCCCCAGTTTGACCAAATCGGTTCGGTGCGGGTATCCAATGGGTCGGCCGAAATTGCCATCTCTAAATGTAATAGGTAACAATATGTTAGATAAATGACTTGAAACTTATCTTTGTTGTTGAGGGTCCCGGAATTTTTGGCTCTTTGTTAGGGGTGGACTCGGGTCGGGCCAACCGGCCCGGACCGGTATTGTTTGTACCCGGCCCGGCCCGGTAACCGATCTTGGTGCCGGTTCGGGCCACCCGGCCCGGTCAGATAGCGGTCCGGGCTCGGGCCTGCTTATTTGTGAACCGCCCGGCCGGGCCGGGCCCGATCCGGCCTCAACGGTCATTTTAAAATAAATAAATAATATTTAGAGGCTTATAGCCGTTGGGACTGTTCCCAAACGGCTCTATAGCCGTTGGGACTGTTCCCAAACGGCTCTATAGCCGTTGGGAGCATAGGAGGGGGGTCTGGGGGTTAGGGGGGGTGGGGGTGGGGTATACAAAAAAAAACTATCTATACTCCTATTTTCTATACATTTTTTACACCTCTTCTTCTACAACTCTTCCTACTCTCTAATTCTCTACTCTCTCAATC